TGTCGGAATACTGTTCTGAGGTTTGCTAGGCGCCCATATGCTGCAGCCGTTATTTGGTTGATGTGCGCTTCAGGAGATGTGCCTGGTGTTATACTCACCCCAAGATCTTTTTCCTTGAGTGATGTTTGTAGTCTCTGACCCCCTAGACTGTACTCCGTCTGCGGTCTTCTTTGCCCTTCCCTAATCTTCATGACTTTGCACTTGGTGGGATTGAACTCCAGGAACCAATTGCTGGACCAGGTCTGCAGCCTGTCCAGATCCCTTTGTAGTTCTGCCTGGTCTTCGATCGAGTGAATTCTTCTCATCAACTTCACGTCATCTGCAAACAGGGACACCTCAGAGTCTATTCCTTCCGTCATGTCGTTCACAGATACCAGAAACAGCACTGGTCCTAGGACTGACCCCTGTGGGACCCCGCTGGTCACAGGTGCCCACTCTGACACCTCGCCACGTACCATGACTCGCTGCTGTCTTCCTGACAAGTATTCCCTGATCCATTGCAGTGCCTTCTCTGTTATCCCTGCTTGGTCCTCCAGTTTTTGCATTAATCTCTTGTGTGGAACTATGTCAAACGCCTTCTTGCAGTCCAAGAATATGCAATCCACCCACCCCTCTCTCTCTTGTCTTACTGCTGTCACCATATCATAGAACTCTAGTAGGTTTGTGACACAGGATTTCCCGTCCCTGAAACCATGTTGGCTGCTGTTGATGAGATCATTCCTTTCTAGGTGTTCCACCACTCTTCTCCTGATAATCTTGTCCATGATTTTGCATACTATACATGTGAGTGACACTGGTCTGTAGTTTAGTGCTTCATGTCTGTCTCCTTTTTTAAAGACTGGGACTACATTTGCTGCCTTCCATGCCTAGGCAATCTCCCTGTTTGGATAGATGTATTGAATATTGTTGTTAAGGGTACATACAGCGCCTCTGCTCCCTCTCTCAGGACCCATGGGAGATGTTATCTGGCCCCATTACCTTTGGGGTATCTAGCTCACTCAGAAACCACTTCACTTCTTCCTCGGTTGTGTGCACTGTGTCCAGCACATGGTGGTGTGCCCCACCTCTCCGTCTTTCTGGAGCCCCTTCTGTCTCCTCTGTGAACACTTCTTTGAATCTCTTGAGTTCCTCACATACTTTACGGTCATTTCTTGTTGTCTCTCCTCCTTCCTTCCTTAGCCTGATTACCTGGTCCTTGACTGTTGTTTTCCTCCTGATGTGGCTGTATAACAGTTTCGGGTCAGATTTGGCTTTCGCTGCTATGTCGTTTTCATATTGTCTTTGGGCCTCCCTTCTTATCTGTACATATTCGTTTCTGGCTCTACGACTGCTCTCCTTATTCTCCTGGGTCCTTTGACTTCTATATTTCGTCCATTCCCTAGCACACGTGTGTATGTGTGTGTGTTCGTGCAAGACCAGCCTACGTAACCTATCCTACCTAATTCTCTGATTTGTTACGAAGAAACTTAACAACACTTGATGTATTTCGGTCTCGCTGGCGATCTGAGAAAAGTATCCCCTTATTTCATAATCTGAGAAAGGTATCCCCTTATTTCATAATCTGAGAAAGGTATCCCCTTATTTCATAATCTGAGAAAGGTATTCCCTTATTTCATATTCTGAGAAAGGTATCCTCTTATTTCATAATCTGAGAAAGGTATCCCCTTATTTCATAATCTGAGAGAGGAATCTCCTTATTCCATAATCTCAGTACCTTTTGTCTTAATGCTCGCGATCGGAGTAGTTCAAGAGTGCGTCAGATTAATATTATTGTTGAAGATTTCAAGGGAATCAGAAGAGGCATTCATAAGTCATCATTTGGAAACTAGTATCCAAAATTCTTCAATAAAATTTGTAAATTATATAACATATGACCCAAATCTAAATAAAAACCTTTCAAAGAAACCAAAAAGCCAGTCTCCTAATATTCACAAGCACATTAAGCTTTAAGCAGCTCAGAAGTTGCGTTATCACGTTATGAACATGGAAAGCTTGAAGCTAATTAAATGCGGTAATTATCACGTGAAGAGCAGAATATATTTTTTTTTTCAATTCCATAAAGAAATGAACTGGGACCAACGCGAGCTAAAATTCATCCAAACTTTTATCTAAGTAAGATTGACCAGCTATTAAGAAAGAATTTTTGTATAAGTCTAGCATACATAACATACAAATGTTCTGGTTGAAGTTGTTGGGTGTACAGATAAGTGATGATTCCAGGATTCTTCGGGAATGAAAATAACCCTTGAAGTTATAAACTAGGTGAAGTAGAGCTTGATCATACAGAATGTGAAAAATTGAGACACTTATGCAACACATGGGAATCTTTATTGAAGAAACGTTTCGCCACACAGTGGCTTCATCAGTCCAATACAAAGTAGAAGTGGGTAAGGAGAGTAGAAGTTTGAGGTAATCAGTCCCTCAACCTGGATTCGATGTGTTCAGTCCATCACTCTTGTAGGAAGTGCAGCATAGGGCCAGAGAGGTGGCTTATATACTGCGGTGAGATGACTTGAAGCATGAGGAGGCGGGATCACAGTGGGACCTACCACTAGTGTAAGTAGGTCGTCGTCCACTTCTACTTTGTATTGGATTGATGAAGCCACTGTGTGGCGAAACGTTTCTTCAATAAAGATTCCCATGTGTTGCATAAGTGTCTCAATTCTTCAACTTGTCGGTTTTCAAAACCATTCATCACACAGAATGTGAAAAAGACTTGGGAGTCATGGTAAGCAGAAATCTGATAAATTAGACACATGTACAACTCTTGGGTATCTTTAATGAGGAAACATTTCGCCACACAGTGGCTTCATCAGTCCATACAAAGGAAAATGGTGAAGAACAGGAGGAGTTTGAGGTAATCAATCCCTCAGCTACTTCCACATTAGACAAATGTGATACCACCTACGACTGCTGCACCTCTCCCGCCTACAGTATATAAGCCACTTCTTCGCATATATGCTGTATACTTTTCAAGATTGATGGACTGACTACATTGACTCAAGGCTGATGGACTGATTACCTCAAACTCATCCTGTTCACCATTCTCCTCTATATGGACTGATGAAGTCACTGTGTGGCGAAACGTTTCCTCATTAAACATACCCTAAGAGTTGCATATATGTTCAATTTATCAGATTTCTGCTTACCATGACTCCCAAGTCTTTTTCACATTCTGTATGATCAAGTTCTACTTCACCTAGTTTATAACTTCAAGGGTTATTTTCATTACCAAGGACTAAGATTTTACACTTGCCCAAAATGAACTTCATCTGCCACTTGTCAGACCAAGACATTAATTTGTCCAAATCCTCTTTGAGTTCACTGGTATCCTCCTCACAGTGAATTATGAAGCTTATTTTTCTATCATCAGCAAATTTGTTCATGTCACTTGTAATTCCTTCATCAAGGTGATTAATGTAAATTATGAACAACAATGGGCCTAAACCTGATCCTTGTGGAACGCCACTAATGACCAATCCCCATTCAGATTGGACCCCATTAATGGAAACTCTATTGGGAAGCTATGCCTCTATCAATGCTAGAACTTTACCTCATATTCCATGGGCTGCCACTTTTCTTAAGAATCTTTTGTGAGGTACTCTGCCGAAGGCTTTACTGAATTCTAAATAAACAATATCATATTCTTTATCATTGTCTACTGCCTCAAATGTTTTATTGAAGAACGGAAGTAAATTTGTCAGGAATACATTAGCTATCTTCCACATCTCTGGTACAACACCAGTTAGGATAGACGCATTAAACACGCTCGTTAATGGCTGACTAAGTTCCATCTTGCATTCTTTAAGTACCCTGGAAAACAACTCGTCGGGTCCCGGGGACTTATTTTGTTTCAGTTTATCTAGCTGTTTGATATAACAGTCACTAGCGATGGACACCGACTGAAACAAAACAAATCCCCTGACCCTGATAAGTTTTTTCAAGGGATATGTGGACAAGTCGTTACCATAAAATTACCGCCGAATAAGCCTGACCTCAATTGTAAGTAAATTGCTATTCAGTTATAGCTGATAATATAAGAAGCCATCTCGATGAGCATAATTTGATTAACGATACTCAACATGGATTCACGAGGGGCCGTTCCTTACTTTCTTCAGCAAAGCTTTTGAGGCCGTTGATCATGATAAAGAATTCGAATCTGTTTAATTGGATTTTAATAAGGTTTTTGATAGAGTACCACGCCAGAAACTGTTAAAGAAAGTGGCAGCTCGTGGCATTGAGGGAAAAGTGCTGTCATAGATCGAGTCATGGCTCACCAATAGGAAGCAGAGAGTGTGCATTTATGGGGTTAAATCTGAGTGGGGATCTGTAACAAGTGGCGTTCCACAGAGATCAGTTTTAGGCCCATTGTCGTTTATAATATATATAAATGACCTTGACGAGGGAATTGCTAGTAGTATGAGCAGATTCGCTGATGACACGAACATAGGTAGAATAATCGATTTAGACGTAGATGTCACGGAACTTCAGGAGGATTTAGACAAACTCAATTCGCGGTCAGAAAATGGCAGATGCAGTTCATTTTAGATAAATGCAGAGTTCTAAAGCTCGGGAATGTTTTCAACCTTAGCACCTACCAGCTTAATAATGCTGAACTTAGCCGTACAGAATGCGAAAAGGACTTGGGGGTTATAGTAAGCAGCAACCTTAAACCAAGACAGCAGTGCTTAATCATACGTAATAAGGCAAATAGATTACTGGGGTTTATATATATATATATATATATATATATATATATATATATATATATATATATATATATATGTGTGTGTGTGTGTGTGTGTGTGTGTGTGTGTGTGTGTGTGGTGTGTGTGTGTGTGTGTGTGTGTGTGTGTGTGTGGTGTGTGTGTGTGCGTATGTGTGTCTAACTGCACTCCGTCACCTATTACACCCATTAAAACGTAAATATCATGAAACAGTTTGTAATAAAAATGTTTCATCAGTCGTTTCAGGAACATACTAATTCTGTTATTTTACAGGTCATCAGGGATGCATCACAGAAGAAGAAGCATCACACAGTCCACCCTGAGCCCATCGACGGACACTTTGATCTTGTCAAGAATCTATTTGTTCCTGCGACACAGGTAATACACTTTTCAGCAACTTGTACGTCCACTGTGACGCAGGTAATTCACCAGCCAGAAACGCATTGTTCTTTTTACACAGACGTTTGTTTGTCCCTGTCACACAGGAAACAGGGCCTTTTACTTAGGGATAATGCTCCTACTCACCCTCCAAGCTTGGAAAACGAGTTGCTGGAGGAGTTCAGTTTTACAAATGTGAAGTTCTTGCCTCCTAAAACCACTCCTTACATCCAGCCCATGGACCAGCAGGTTATTCTAACTTCAAGAAGCTCTAAACCAAAGCACTTTTTGAAAGGTGCTTTAAAATTACTTCAGAAACAAATTTAACCCTCAGGGAGTTCTGGAAAGACCATTTTAATATCCTCATCTGCTTGAGGCTTATAGACAAAGCCTGGGGAAATGTGTTTTCCAGGATCATGCAGTCAGCAGGAAAGAAATTCTGGCCTGACTTTGTGACAGCCAGGGATTCTAAAGGTTTTGAAGATGAGCCTGAGCCGGTAAAGGTTGTTGTGTCCCTGGGGAAGACTTTGGGCCTAGAGGTGACTGAAGATGATGTGGAGGAGATGGTGGAGGAGCATAAAACTGAGCGCATCACAGAAAAACTCGTAGGCCTTCAGAAGGAGCAGTAACAGATTGCAGTGGAGGAGCTGTCATCAAAGAAAGAGAAGGGAAGGGAAATGTGTGTTAAATGGCGTGAAGTGCAGGAGTTAGCTGAAAAATATATTGTCATTTGGGGTCTGTAACGGATTATTTGTATTTACATTATTCTTTATGTGAAAAATTGCTTTGGTTGTCATCCATTTTGGTTATCGAATCGACATCTGGAGCGAATTAAGTTCAACATCCGAGGTTCCAATGTATACTTCTTTGTTACTAACAGTAAACTGACCTGAGGCACTTTTATATGTACGTGGAAAAAACCTTAGAATTGGTCTTTGAATCCCACTTATCCTTAATTTCATATTCTCTTTTGGATTTCCCGTTTTTGACTTCTCTTAAATTGAATATATTGTTCAAAAAGTTGACCCTCACCTCTTATGATTAGCTTGTAACTGAAATGGAAAATGTTACATTATCACTCATCACCACCTTCTAGCCAGTCTCCCTGACGATACTCCCTAGTCATGTTACCCCATGTTACTCCTCATGTAAATCTGCAGCGCGAAAATTGGGGACCTTAACTTTGTTATTGTTATTAAGATAATTTCATGATATATTAAAATTAAACGATTTGTAATCACTTTTGCAAACAAACCATACCACGGGCGGGGATAGAACCCGCGATCTTGTAATCACTTTCTCCAAGTTCTTAATTAACCTCATGATAATCACCTTTCAGAGAATCCTTGTTTACCAGAACCAAATCCATCAGGTTATTTCTTCTTTTTGGTTGTGACACAAATTGTATTACAAAGAAGTCTGGACAATTTCAAGAAAGTCCCTAAACTGTTGGATTGATCCAATACATTTGGCTAAAGTTAAACTCTTCCATTAGAACTTCATTTCCGTTTCCACATGCCTGAGTAATTTCATTCCAGAGACGTTTAATTTGGTCACTGTCTGGGTTTCAGTGTCTGCAGATCATGCATAAGATTAGCTTTCCATGCCTTCGAGAAAATGCAGCCAAACAGATTCCGTGTCTTTCCCTTTCATCTTTATATCGTTTCTGATGCAACAATTTAAAATTTCCCTAACATTCATACTGACTCCATCTTGTTTCCTAATGACTATATCATTGTGGTGTAATTTTTAATCCTGTATGGGGAATTCAGCAAGCATGTCCCTATTTTTCAGAGTGAACCATGTTTCAGTTATTGCAACAGTATCTAGATTCTCGCACATGCAGCTAGTTCATATATATATTATTTCTTGCACACAGGTTATTTGTATAATAGACACTAATGAAGTTTTAGCCTTGCTTTTCTCCCCTGTTTCATCTGGTTGGTAGACTATTTTTTCTGCTTTTATCACGAACAATTTTATAAGCTGTCCTGTTTTCTGGACGTTTGCATAACATATCTGATTTTTTTCCTGTTTCTGTCCCTAGTACTACAACAACTTCATTTCCTACACACACTCTTAACTCTATATTCTGTTAGTTGAAAATCCTCAGACTACTTAACAATGATTCCGAAAGAATCGACAGTTGCTGTCACCCGTGCACCAGTTCATTACATACATGTCATGTTTGTCATAGATGTAGTCCCAGTTGTCAATGATGAAATTCCATCAAGTTATCCTAGAGCCCTAGACATCTCTTCACTGCCCACTCCCGTTCTAGACAAAATTGCACATGATTGGGATCCCTTTTTTGATCTTATGTTATCTATAGCTGCCTTGTTATTGACGAACAAATTTTCATGCCAGTTATCTAACATTTTCTCCAGCACTGAGGCAGATAATGTGGTTGGTCTCATTACCTGACATGATGTTATCTAACGTGTTAGTTACATCACCCACACCTGTTCCAGGGAACACACACTATCTTGCCTTGCTATCCCTATAACAAAATGCTGTATCCATATATTGAATCTCAGAATCTCCAACAGCAAGAATGTCCTTTTTCTTACAAGCTGAAGAGCAGCAAAGCGATTTCCGTTCGCTGATCCTTCTTCAATCAGCAGTTTCATCTTCTTCTCGCGTCTGGAAACCACTTTCCATTCTTTGCAGTCATTATGTTTCCCATTGTTTCTGTCAACCACCTCATATTTTTTTTTTAATGAGATTTTTGCATTCTCATTCTCCTGATTATCATTGGCTTAATTAAATAAAATAATGGGAGGAGGAATTATCATCCAACTATCATTATCGGTTTTGATATTCTTCGCCAGAGGAAATAGTCAGAAATAACATAATTTTTCCTGATATACTTACTCTCCATTAACTAAAACGTAGTGGACTAATATTACATACATATATCGACAACTCTTCTATGTGGACTCCCGTTTTCATTCCTAACACTGAGGAGATAACACACCTTCCCAATGGCCCTAAAGAAGAAAGAGGCACAATACCGTGACTGGAGCAGTACACAAATAACCGCACATAGGAGAGAGGAGTTTACGATGGCCTTTTACAGTCACTCTCGTCTTAAGCCCCTCTCTCCTGAATACGCGTTATTTGTTCATTGGCCCTAATTCGTCTTATCTTCCGTGTGGCCAATTGCACTTCCTTTTAAGAATGGCCGCAGTTCTGTAAGTCCAGAACAAATGATTTTCATTGTGTTTGCTGGGAATTCTGTATTCACCTCATATTTATTACAAATGAATTTGTAGAATAATAAGAAAGTTTTTTCATAATTACATCAGGGTTAATGGTTTTAATTAACCTGACCAGCATCATCCCCAACAGGACTTGGGTCATGACTTCAGGTACGCCTACGTCACCCACACCAACCAGCGGGGTCTGTATAAGCTGGATCTGGCCAATATGAAATATGTCAAGACGGTAGACCTCACACCCTACAACTGTGTTCCACAGCACCTCGTCTTCTCTTCACTACGTAAGAATCTTTATATTGCAGTTTTCACTAGAAGGAAGGAAGGCAGGGAGAGAGGTGTTTTTAAGGTATGGTTAGTTTGCCTATTAGTAAACCTCCAGTGTAGTTTTTATTATTTCTGTGTTATATATAGATAATACTACGTTTTCAACCTCTTTCCTGTATTCCTGATGTGAGAAGGTTTATCATGGTGCTGGTTGAGGGACACACTGCTAACAGAAATATAGAGAAAGGCACATGTAGCAGAATATACCTCTATTGGGAAACCATTTCGGGAGTATTTTTTCAGGACATACATGTAAGGTGAAAAGTTAGGCGGATCATGTACAGGTATATCTGTTATAGTATCCTTGTTATAATTTTTCATGACGTTTCTCCTATCCAGTGTCACATTCAACATAAAGAATAAAGTAGGTTCCGACACTGATGGTTCTACCGCTGTTGTATCCCAGTCCTGTGAAATACCATATTGTTTTGTATGTAAAGACTTCAATATGGGTTCCACTTCTCAATTCTTAATTGGCTACCTCGGCTGTTTTACCTGTGGGACAAACGTATTTTCGACCTGTTTAGTTGTGATTAGTATTTTCTGAGCCTCTTGTCTACAATCTTGAATTAAGTATGAAGGGAAATGATGCGAGAAGAAAATGTCACTGATATTGCAACATTCTTCTTCAAGGATTCGAGGCTGCACATTCAGTAAGCTGTCTAGCGAACGTTAATGAAAACTCCAAGTTTGGTTTTCTTGTCATAATGAGAAAAATGTGTAAGATCATGTTTGCTGGTGGGTTTATGATAAACATTGAATTAGAGGTGATTGTACGGTCAGTTCGGTCAAGCTGAGGCTGTTATTGAAGATCTGGAGATTAAGACTATAATGTGTTATCTCGAGAAAACCTTCCAAATAATTGATGCATATGACCGAAAGCTATATTCCAACTCAAGATATTTCGCCAAATATATAGAATTCTAAAACACTACCAGTGATAAAGGAGGATTCATAATCTTCCTCACTGCTACGAACAACAGGAACACTCAGGATCTTCCTGGCGACTACAGTACAAATGAAGATATCCATGCAGCCAGAGTTTGAGAAACGAATGATGATACTGATGAACATTTCATTTATCCACAGGTAACACAGCCGACATGGCTACATCAACATTGCGGCTGTAACATACAAAACCATATGGGATTTCACTAGAGCAGGATATAACAGCCGTAGAATCATCAGTACTGAATGTACCCCATTTTTTGTGCGGACTTGACAAACACCACATTAATACCAGCATATTAGAGCATTACTATGCCTGCAGAACCCATAATGCCAACCACGTATCTATCATTCCCCGAGACAAGCATTCACATCCTATATCATGGGAAGATACAAAATTCATTACTTTAAAGTATAATATAACAAGAAAATATCTTTAAGCAGCGATCCTCAGTACACAAATTCCATGGATCGAAACCATGGTGCCATTAGCACTGTTAAAAGATTAGCATAATTCAGTTAATGTGAACAGCTACCGGCTCATGACCAGGTGATACCACAATCATCCCCCAGTCGGAAGATCCTCGCCTCTCACTTTGGGAAGAGACATACATTACACATATCAGTGATTCCTGATCCAATGACATTCCAGCGAACAACATTTTATGAGACGCTGGATTTGAACCACGAAGCATTTTTACCTAATACTTCGTCTTAGAAGAGATTTCTGAATCATGTGTTGATTCCCACTCCAGCAGGTTAAACTGATTACTTCATAACTAGTTAAAAAAAATAGAGGACAAAGTCACACTTAAGTCCTGTACCTCGCTGTGACTTACCTTACTGTGTCTCTCACTATGATTCTGTACCTTACAATGAAGCCTGAACCCTACCATGAACCACACCATGACTCAGAAACTCAACATGAACCACACTCTAACCCAGTAATTCACAATGAATTACACCAATATTCAGTAGGTAATTAACCATACATAACCCATTACCTCACCATTAACTGCACATAAAGTTCCTCACCATAAACCGTATGATGACCCAAAATCTCACCATGAACCACAATACGATCCGGTACCTCACCATAGACCACACCAAGACCCAGTACATCATTATGACCCAGTACCTCGTCATAGACCACACTTTGAATCAGTACCTTACCATAGACCACACTTTGACTCAATACCTTACCATAGACCACACTTTGACTCAGTACCTCATCATGAACCACACCATGACCCAGTACCTTATCATAGACTACACCTTGACTCAGTACCTTACCATAGACCACACCTTGACTCAGTACCTTACCATAGACCACACCTTGACTCAGTACCTTACCATAGACCACACCATGACCCAGTACCTCATCATAGACCACACCTTGACTCAGTACCTTACCATAGACCACACCTTGACTCAGTACCTTAAAATAGACAACACCTTGACTCAGTACCTTACCATGGACCACACCTTGACTCAGTACCTTACCATAGACCACACCATGACCCGGTACCTCATCATAGACCACACCTTGGCTCAGTACCTTACCATAGACCACACCATGACCCAGTACATCACCATAGACCACAATATGACCCAGTAGCTCACCATGAACCACACCATGACCCAGTACCTCACCATTATCCAGTACCTCACCATGAACCACACCATAACCCAGTACCTCACAATGAACCACATCATGACCCAGTGCCTCACCATGAACCACGCTATGACTCAGTACCTCACCATGAACCACACCATAATCCAGTTCCTCACCATGAACCACACAATGACCCAGTACCTCACCATGAACCTCACCATGACCCAGTACCTCATAGACAACACCATGACCCAGTACCTCATAGACAACACCATGACCCAGTACCTCATAGACAACACCATGACCCAGTACATCACCAAAGACCACATTATGACCCAGTACCTCACTATGACCCAGTTGCTCACCATGAACCACACCTTGACCCAGTACCTCACCATGAACCACACCATGACCCAGCACCTCACCATGAACCACGCTATGACCCAGTTCCTCACCATGAACCACACCATGACCCAGTACCTCATAGACCACACAATGACCCAGTACCTCACCATGAACCACACCATGACCCAGTACCTCACCATGAACCACGCTATGACCCAGTTCCTCACCATGAACCACACCATGACCCAGTACCTCATAGATCACACAATGACCCAGTACCTCACCATGAACCACACCATGACCCAGTACCTCACCATGAACCACACCTTGACCCAGTACCTCACCATGACCCAGTACCTCATAGACAACACCATGACCCAGTACATCACCAAAGACCACATTATGACCCAGTACCTCACTATGACCCAGTTGCTCACCATGAACCACACCATGACCCAGTTGCTCACCATGAACCACACCATGACCCAGTTGCTCACCATGAACCACACCATGACCCAGTTGCTCACCATGAACCCACCATGACCCCAGTTGCTCACCATGAACCACACCATGACCCAGTTGCTCACCATGAACCACACCATGACCCAGTTGCTCACCATGAACCACACCATGACCCAGTTGCTCACCATGAACCACACCATGACCCAGTTGCTCACCATGACCCAGTTGCTCACCATGAACCACACCATGACCCAGTTGCTCACCATGAACCACACCATGACCCAGTTGCTCACCATGAACCACACCATGACCCAGCACCTCATAGACCACACAATGACCCAGTACCTCACCATGAACCACGCTATGACCCAGTACCTCACAGTGAACCACACCATGACCCAGGACCTCAGAGACCACACCATGACCCAGTACATCACTATAGACCACATTATAACCCAGAACCTCACTATGACCCAGTACCTCACAGTGAACCACACCATGACCCAGTACCTCACCATGAACCACACCATGACCCAGTACCTCACAGTGAACCACACCATGACCCAGGACCTCATAGACCACACCATGACCCAGTACATCACTATAGACCACATTATAACCCAGAACCTCACTATGACCCAGTACCTCACAGTGAACCACACCATGACCCAGTACCTCACCATGAACAACACCATGACCCAGTACCTCACCATGAACCACACCATGACCAAGTACCTCACCATGAACCACACCATGACGCAGTACCTCACCATGAACCACACCATGACGCAGTACCTCACCTTGAACCACACCATGACGCAGTACCTCACCTTGAACCACACCATGACCCAGTACCTCACCATGAAGCACACCAAGACCCAGTGCCTCACCATGAACCACACCATGACCCAGTACCTCACCATGAACCACACCATGACGCAGTACCTCACCATGAACCACACCATGACCCAGTACCTCACCATGAATCCACACCATGACGCAGTACCTCACCATGAACCACACCATGACCAGTACCTCACCTGAACCACACCATGACGCAGTACCCTCACCATGAACCACACCATGACCCAGTACCTCACCATGAAGCACACCAAGACCCAGTGCCTCACCATGAACCACACCATGACCCAGTACCTCACCATGAACCACACCATGACCCAGTACCTCACCATGAACCACACCATGACCCAGTACCTCACCATGAACCACACCATGACGCAGTACCTCACCATGAACCACACCATGACGCAGTACCTCACCTTGAACCACACCATGACGCAGTACCTCACCTTGAACCACACCATGACCAGTACCTCACCATGCAAGCACACCAAGACACCAGTGCCTCACCATGAACCACACCATGACCCAGTACCTCACCATGAACCACACCATGACCCAATACCTCACCATGAACCACACCATGACCCAGTACCTCACCATGAACCATACCATGACACAGTACCTCACCATGAACCACACCATGACCCAGTACCTCACCATGAACCACACCATGACCCAGTACCTCACCATGAACCACACCATGACCCAGTACCTCACCATGAACCACACCATGACCCAATACCTCACCATGAACCATACCATGACACAGTACCTCACCATGAACCACACCATGACACAGTACCTCACCATGAACCACACCATGACCCAGTACCTCACCATGAACCACACCATGACCCAGTACCTCACCATGAACCACACCATGACCCAATACCTCACCATGAACCACACCATGACGCAGTACCTCACCGTCAACCACACCATGATTCTGTAGTTTACTGTGATCCACACTTTGTGAAACATACATGTATAAAATATATTGCATAATCAGAATGCCAAACAATATACATCGTACACAATATGAAGGATATACAATGGGAAACATTCATAACCTATTCCATGCATAGTATAATACATAAATAATGTAAAGCATACAACATATGGATTATATGTATAATGAAGAATATGTAGTGTGAGACACACTTGTTGAACATACGTAATATGAAGCACACGATCTGAAGCATACATAATGTGAAATACACGTATTGTGAAACATACATAATGAGAAATATACATAATGAGATATATGCATAATATGAAGCAATTATAATGTGAAAGAAATACACGAAATGAGAGACATACATAATGAGAAATGTACATAATGTGAATTATTCATAATGAAGAACATACATAATGTGAATCATATAAAATGTGAAACACATAATGTAAAGCATGATGAAAAACATAAATAATGTGACGTATACATAATGTGACGCATACATAATGAGAAATATATATAATGGGAAACATTAAAAATTTGATAAATACATAATGTGAAGCATACATAATGTAAAGCATACATAATGTGAAGCATATATTACAATGCTTGGGTTGTATTATCTAAAATACATATGCACACATTACTACATTGCTGATCTTTACAAGTTCAGAGAAAGGGCCAGGAGCTATGACTTGGCACTTGCAAAAGCCAACTAGATGAGTAATTGGATAACGACCCAGTAATCACATAATGACCCATTACTGTATCAGGGACCACATAGGCCTGTATATCACCATCAACAATATTATTACCAAATACAGCATCATGAAATACACAGTGGTCCAGTATATCACCATTAATCACATGATCATGCAGTGTATTACTGCTATGTACTGGGAATATAAACATCTTGTTCATCACATGACACATAAATAACCCGTTACATCACTTTAAACTACTTGAAGTCCAAGCACATCATGCATTCCCATACTGTGAATGACCCAGTACACCACTGTGAACCACGTGATGTCCCAGTACATCATCATGAACCCCTTTAATGGCACAGATTGTAACTATGATCCAAATAATGACCCAGTACGTCACCTTTGCCTTCACTATGACCCAGTGCCTGGCCATGACACATTATGTCCCAGTACCACACTAACGCAGTAAGAAATTGTAACCCCACAATGACTATAACTCACTATGACCAACACAATGACCCAGTACACCACATAACTTACACCAGGATCCAGTGGCTCACCATGACTCCCATTACGGTCTAATATACCACTATCACCCAGTACCAAATTTTGACCCAGTTCACCACTATGACCTCGTACCATACTATGATCCACACTGACCCAGTGCTTCAGTGTAATCTACTCCATGATCCTGTACTCTACTATGATTCGGTAGCTAACTCTGATCTAGTACTTTATTATGACCCAGTATTCACCATGAATCCCACCATGACCCATTAAATCATCAGATGCCTCACTATGACTTAGTGCCTCATTTTGTTTCGCCTCAGATGGGTTGGTTGTGATGGACTGTGAAGAACCTGTGACGGGTCGCAGGACGGGACAGCTGGTTCTGGACTATCTGACAGATGCTGTACTGAGTCACAAGACAACACTAATGGGACAGCCACACGTGGTCCCTGACTCCTCCCTAGTTGTCACCGTAGACACACTAAATCACGTCAAGATTGTCGTTCAGAAAGTCACAGGTAAGCTATCAGTGTTCTGTTTATGCTTTTCAAGAGATTTTAGTGTGAACGACCTATAAGGAAACGAATTTGATCCTGAGACGGGTAGAGACAATGCTCTTGTCTACTTACACCTCTCGACTTAGCAGAAATTAGTAACCTAGGTGTTAACTATCAATAGTGGGAAGCAACCTTGGAAAGAAGGGTTGTGTATACCTCAGACAAGGCCACACTTTGTAATGACCTCACAATCTCTTTCGAATTTCACTGCATGTGACAGGATTTGATAAAATAACTTATCACTAGGCTTGTGTTCCGGGGTGTATATAGAGTGGTTGTCACGGCATTATGCCGGGTGAGCGCCCTGGCATAATGCCTTTACGAAAATCAAAGGCCTACTATACAGAGGGGTATTTTTTTCGCCAGTGCATTCTGCTGAGTAGCAGCCATTAGCATGACGTCTCGGCCTGCTGCCACACTTCATAGTGACTTCTCATTTCTCACGTGGTTGCTGTGGTGAGAGGAAGTGTTGCACTGTTGTCTCTCATCCGCCCGATCTTTTGTCCTGTGTTCCCTTTGATTTTGTGGCTATACATGTCTTTAACACCTGAAACTATAGCTGAAATCAAAGGCTTCACAAAGCTGGGCAACAAACGAAAGAAATAGTGGAGAATGTTGGTGTGTGTGAACGTTCAGTGAGGAACTGGGTGCAGCGTTTCAAGGCTGGTGGCGGTGTAGAGTTACCGTCTGCCAAACCTCGGCCTGGCCCCTCCAAGAAGACATCTGTTCCTACCTTAACTGTGTTAAAGAAGCGTAGACTAACCAAGGTTTATACCAAAGTTGGGTTTGTCATAGCACAGGACTCGCCCCACTTCTGGTTCTCTTTCTTATATGCGACATCGACAAGAACTTACAATAAATCAAAGAACCCTAACATGCCTGGGTGTAGCGATGACGGGAGCATAGAGGTAGCACTGAAGGGTGTACATGGGCTGCAATGACGGGTGTGTAGAAGTCCTACAACCATATACCCATTATTGCTAAGCCCATACCCCCGTGAGTGCTGCCTGTATACATTTTCAGTACTACCCACATGCATTCATCACTGCTACAAACATTCACCCAGTAGCACTATACACAAACCCATCTGTGCTACTCTCATGCAGTCATCGACGTTACACCAATTAGTGCTACACTTACATATCTATTAGTGCTTCTCCCATACACCCACACACCATTCAGTCATACGCGTAAATGCCTATCAGTGCTATACGTATACACCTATCAGTGTTACAGCTATTCACCCATCAGTGCTACCACCATACACCACTCCTTACTGCCGCATATATCCGCGAGTGCTACATACGCACATCAGTGCAATCTATGTATACAAATCAGTGCTACGCCTTATACACACAGCAGTTCAACCCAATACACCCATCAGTGTTGCACGAATACGCCCATCAGTGCTGCACCAATACACCCATCGGTGCTGCACCAATACACCCATCATTGCTGCACCAATACACCCATCAGTGCTGCACCAGTACACCCATCAGTGCTGCACGAATACACCCATCAGTGTTGCACGAATACACCCATCAGTACTACACCAATACACCCGTCAGTGCTGCACCATTACACCCGTCAGTGCTGCACCAATACACCCATCAGTGCTGCACCATTACACCCGTCAGTGCTGCACCAATACACCCATCAGTGCTGCACCAGTACACCCATCAGTGCTGCACCAGTACACCCATCAGTGCTGCACCAGTACGCCCATCAGTGCTGCACAAATACACCCGTCAGTGCTGCACCAGTACACCCATCATGCTGCACATGCACCATCAGGCTCACCATACCCATCAGTGCTGCACCAATACACCCATCAGTGCTGCAATCACCATCGTGTCACAGTACCCATCAGTGCTGCACCAGTACACCCATCAGTGCTGCACCAGTACACCCATCAGTGCTGCACCAGTACACCCATCAATGCTGCACCAGTACACCCATCAGTGCTGCACCAATGTACCCATCATTGCTGCACCAATACGCCCATCAGTGCTGCACCAATGCACCCATCAGTGCTGCACCAGTACGCCCGTCAGTGCTGCACCAATACACCCGTCAGTGCTGCACCATTACACCCGTCAGTGCTGCACCAATGCACCCATCAGTGCTGCACCAGTACGCCCATCAGTGCTGCACCAATACACCCATCAGTGCTGCACCAATACGCCCATCAGTGCTGCACCATTACACCCGTCAGTGCTGCACCAATGCACCCATCAGTGCTGCACCAGTACGCCCATCAGTGCTGCACCAATACACCCGTCAGTGCTGCACCATTACACCCGTCAGTGCTGCACCAATACGCCCATCAGTGCTGCGCCAATACACCCGTCAGTGCTGCGCCAGTACGCCCATCAGTGCTGCACCAATTCACCCATCATTGCTGCACCAATACGCCCATCAGTGCTGCACCAATACACCCATCAGTGCTGCACCAATACGCCCATCAGTGCTGCACCATTACACCCGTCCGTGCTGCACCAATGCACCCATCAGTGCTGCACCAGTACGCCCATCAGTGCTGCACCAATACACCCGTCAGTGCTGCACCATTACACCCGTCAGTGCTGCACCAATACGCCCATCAGTGCTGCGCCAATACACCCGTCAGTGCTGCGCCAGTACGCCCATCAGTGCTGCACCAATTCACCCATCATTGCTGCACCAATACGCCCATCAGTGCTGCACCAATGCACCCATCAGTGCTGCACCAATACACCCATCAGTGCTGCGCCAATACACCCGTCAGTGCTGCGCCAGTACGCCCATCAGTGCTGCACCAATTCACCCATCATTGCTGCACCAATACGCCCATCAGTGCTGCACCAATGCACCCATCAGTGCTACACCAATGCACCCATCAGTGCTGCACCATTACACCCGTCAGTGCTGCACCAATACGCCCATCAGTGCTGCACCAATACGTCCATCAGTGCTGCACCAATGCACCCATCATTGCTGCACCAATACGCCCGTCAGTGCTGCACCATTACACCCATCAGTGCTGCACCAATACGCCCATCAGTGCTGCACCAATACGCCCATCAGTGCTGCACCAATGCACCCATCATTGCTGCACCAATACGCCCACCAGTGCTGCGCCAATACGCCCATCAGTACTGCAACCATACGCACATCCGTACTTCCTACAATTACCCATCACTGCTACATATTTAAACCTATCAGTTCTACACCCATACTCCCATCAGCGCTTCACCCATGTACTCATTGATTCTACACCCATTCACCCACCAGTGCCACACCCAAACACCTGTCATCTTTCACTTCTTTTATACAAATTAATTTTATTTGCTTGGAGCTGTTATCCTGCCTCACCTCATTTCAAAGCCCAGGTCTGAGGTATACTCAGCCTCCAGGATGCCACCCACTCCAGTCGGCTAACACCCAGATACCTACTTACTACTATTTGAACAAGAACAGCAGGTGTAAGGAAACATGCCCAGTGCTTCCAGCCGTACTGAGAATCGAACCCCGGACACTCAGTGAATGAGCTGAGTGCGCTAGCAACCGGTCCACGGGAAACCACATTTATAAAGTAATTAATATTACACACATAAGCCCTTAAGTGCTCACAAATATAGTCACCGGAACAATAATTATACACATAAGAGCTACACCTACGCAACCACCAGTGCTGCGCGATCATCAGTACTTCCCACGTACCATCATTAGTGTCATTAACGCTACTTACACTACGAACGTCAGCCTCATCAATGCTACCTACACAACCACCATCAGTGCTTCCTTATCTAACACCATCTTTACTAACTAAATTTCTGCCATCAATGATTTGTACATGTGAAGGTGCAATTGCCCTCAAAGAGCTTTTGAAGGAGCCCCTTCCTCCTCATGAAAACTTAGAAAAATTATAACAAAATAAGATAAACAACTTTTTATTGAATATAATCAAGTGTCTTAAAATATAAAACAAACATGAAATAGTCCTAACTGAATCAAATGATGAAAAATTAAATGAATAAATAAACCCAATGAACAAGCCTAATATATACAGAAAGATCTGAGTGTCTATGTTATGGTAAGGCGCCAGGAATAGCTGGAGTGTAATGGGACGCTGGAGATAGCGTAATGAGGTCACAGATGGTCGTGACTATTGACAAGTCCAGCACCGGACGGTTACAATGATTGTGAAGGTACGGAGCTAACAGCTTAGTTGTCCACTGGGAAATCGACAACAGAGTAGCAAGAACAAGACAAGTTCCTCAATATGTTATCAAAACTGAAGCGCTAAATCTACAAGGGTCATTGAGCGCAGTCCTCGAATTATTGCCGAGGTAGTAGCTCTGTCCTGGTGGTACATAAAAACAAGAGTTCTCAAGTAAGGCTGTTAACCTGCGCCCAGAAGTAGTGTAACAGCAGTTGCACTACTTCTGAGCAGTTTCTCGTGATGAGGCAGCAGTGTAGATCAAAAGTTAAGGTTAAGGAACAACAGAGTTCCCATGATTACAAATTCTTCTGTTTCTGATCTATTATTAGATCAATGCAGCTCGTCTTGTCTCGCATCTGGTGAGTGACCCTAACCATCAGTCAAGGCTGAGAAGGAAACAAAATGGACATTACAAGCCGAACAAGGAGTCATTCACAAGATAGGCTGAAGGCCTTTAAAAGAAACGGTGATTATTAAATATTCAAGTCCGGACAAAATTTAAAAATCATAACAAGAGTACAACTCTTATCAAATTAAGAAAAAAATAAACATTAAATATTCAAGAGTGGAGCTCTATCCTTACAGACTTTATGACAGCAGGAAGCCAAGTGACGCTACTCCGTCCGCAAGGGTCACTTGTTGCCTCTCACCGGGTGGATGAGAGGGGTGAGGGGTAAAGTAGCTGCTCACATAACACTTTCTGAATAGTCATACTACCAGTCATACTTCCTCCACCAGTCATTCGGACTTCCACTCT